AACATGCTTATGTGATCAGTAGTGTGGGTTTGGTTTTGGGTTTTGGGTTTTTTTTTTCCTTTTAATTCAGGTAGATTGAGAACAGTTTAATAAATATAAACATTATGGAAGGCTGGTTTTCTTCTTCGATCAAGGGGACAATATCCTTGACAGGTGTTTCCTGCTTCTGCTTTTAATTAATATTATTTGCAGTACTCAGGTTTTTCAGACATTGCTTTCTGTCAAACGCTTGGATTATCACCTTCAAAAATACTTATTCTTATATTAGATGCATCTGAAATTATTAATGCAGCCAAACGAATGATGCATAGCTTATTGCATGCTTGAAAATATTTAACAGACCTGTAACTGGTGTAATTAAAATGCTAGTGGAAGGTAAAATGATTATCTGTTCAGATTTGAAGGATACAGTGAATGACACATGGATTTTGAGAATCAGTAGCAACTCTTATGCTAAGGACCATATCAGAGAGAATTCCATGATTCCTGTTATTCTTGTTTCTGGTTGTGTGGACTGTTTTTATGCTTCTGTCAATAATACCTTACTTGATTTTCTATCTTTAGATCCTAAAAAAATATAAGTGTTTTGACAGAATCTTCAGATCTCTTCAAAACTCTGCTACAGTCTACCTTTCTGGATTTTTTTTAACCATCTGTACACAGTTTGGCCCACTGCTGTGTGAAGGTACCCATTTCATTGCAGTGATTTTACAAAATCAGGTTGTGTGTCGCATGTATGAGTTTGGATCTCCTCCTATTCTAGGAATACATGTGGAGCCTACTTGGGCAAGTAGCCAGCCCTTTCAGTGTGGAACTGGCCATGCTGGTTTCTGCTTTCTCTGACATCCTGTGCCTGTGGCTTTAGCTTGTTAGCCCATCCTTAAGGGTGATGCCGTGTCCACGCTCTTGTTCACGTGCTGCTCTTATGTAGGTTTCTTTCCTGTCCTTTTCTCCCGCTTCAGCTGTTGCCTTCAAATAATGCGTTATTCAGAGCAAGAACTGCCTTTAGATGTTTGGAGAATACCTACCGCCTCATAAAACAGCTTGTAAAAACAGTCACATAGTAATTTCAGTGTGCATCTAGGTGGAAAAGTAATTTTAAAATGCTTAATCTCGATGTAGAGGCATCTTAACACAATATAACATCTGGAAACAGGAGAGTCAGCACTTAGTCTGATCCAGAGCTTACTGAAATTGAAGGACAGGTTCCCATTGACTTCAGAGGGCTTTGAATCAAGCAGAATCTTAGTGAGCTTTTGGTATTTGTGACCTCCCCAAAATAAACTGTCTAAAATTTAAGGTATTAAGCAGCATCATTGATTTTGAAGATTTGACCTGAACTTGTTTAAACTTAAAAGGATTAGGCACCCAGCATTTGTTAATTGTGTATAAAATTCTTATATGTTCCATTTTTCACTTTCATGGTACCATGGGCCTGGGAGCTTAAAGGGACTAGTGGGGGTTTTTTGAGCATTTTGGCTATCAGCATTATAAGGCTTCTGATTTTTGGTGAATAGATGGGTGCAGAATCAAGTTGAGCTATTACTTTGGAATCAAAATGCTTTAATACCTCCCTGCTGTCTACCCAGGGTGTTGTGGGCATTGGTGTTTGTCAAATGAGACATGCTCTACTGCAGGCGTTGTGGGGAGGATTAGTCCGACACAGAGAAAGGGAGCCAGAACCCACTTGTGCAGATTTGATCTTACCTGCATGATTTAAAAAATGTGTTTGTCTTCAGAACTCTATTACACAGGTTGCTTGTAAACGACATTGAGAGCAAAGCGGGAGTTTGACTGTTAAAGCAAACTGGGTTAATGACAGTATTGGACAATACTTTTTTTTCTGCGGGTGTTAAGGAGAAAAATGTGTATGAAAGGTGAATTTTAGCATAGTTTTTGAGGATTAACTTGTGTTTCCTTTGAAGATAAAAATACCAGCTTTTCAGGGTGAGGCTGAAGATCGTTTTTAAGAAGAAGCAGTTCCTTTAGCGCGGCTCTTCATTCATATCAGTGTAAGGATTGAGCAAGTGCCTGCCAGCTTTTCTGGGTTGTATCAGATAGCATTGTATCAGATTGCTTGTCCTCATTCTGTCTGCGGAAGACCAGAATTTGCATTAGTTGCATTCAAGTGTATGCATCTATCTGCCATGACATCTAAAGTATTTGATTTGGGTATGACTTGTTGAGAGGAGATAAATTTACAGAATAGAATAGTCAAGCCCTGGGCTCTATTCTAAAGCTCAAAAATAAAAATGGCAGTGTGTTTTCGTCTCAACAATTGGTAAGAACTTGGGGGAACATCAGGAGTCATACAATTAATGTAATATCATACAATTTCCCTTTTATTTTGCTTAACTGAATTAAAATTAACTTTTCCCTGAAATTGCTGTCATTTTAGAGAACCAATGCCAGCTTTAGATTGTATAGGTCATATTGTTAAAGCTCTGTTCACTGAGATTTTGTCTCAAACTACCAAGATTTTGCAGGTTCTGCAACTTTGGCCAGAAGTGAGAATTAAGTAAAAAAGTTAAGATACTTCCAAGTGCTGGGTACTGGTCAATCTTTTTGTTTGTTTGTTTGTTTGTTCAAATATATGTGTTCTTTACACATCTGAATTAGAAAGAACACTGATGCTTTAAGAGAGGAAAACTTGGTTTCATATCAGTGTCTTTTCCTATGAAAAAACTAAATTACGTTTCAACAGAAAGAATCATTTACTCACACATGTATTCCCACTCCTGATTTCTTTTTTGCTGTTGAAGTCTTTCAACATCAAGCCTGAACTTAATTCAGAATCTTAGTAAGAATGGTGCTTCAGCACTTCATGAAACCCTCCTTTAACAGGAGAAATTTTGTAACGAGAGTTAACAAAATATTTGCTTTTATATTAGCTTGAGATTTAGTATATCTCTTGGATTTTCTAATCCATGTGTCTTGTTAATTTATATGTAATACTCTTCAGCAGTAGACCTTCTTTTTGATTAAAAAATTGCATAGGCTTAAATAAGATCAAAAGGTATCTCTTTTTTCAGTTACTGCCCAAGTGGAAAATTGGAAAGAAATTGTTGTGCCATCAGGTAGCTTTAGGGCATTACAGAGCTAAAAACTGCACATACCCTCTTTGAGAATAATACATGTAGGAAGGTCTGGGTTTCAAAGAACGCTGTGTGAGAATTGAGTAAAACCACATACAAAGGATGTGTCCTTCCAATTTATTTATTTTTTTTTAAACTAGGCTTTTAAGAGAAACACAGACCATTGTTTTGGACAAGTTAAATTCAGCAATACAGTAGTTTCAGGTAAGGTCTTTAAGGCAGGTCCTGAACAGGAAAAGTAAATGTCTCTGAATGCAGTTTCTTAACAATAAGAATATCCTGCCTTTGAGTGAGAGAGAGCAGAATTATTCATACTAAGACGTGGCTTTATTGCACGTACAGCAACACATTAGAAGGGCAGTTTTGAAACTGCTGGCTGAACTGTGTCTCCAGCAGTTGGTTTTTTTATTTCATTTATTTTTTCATTCATCTGTACCCAGTGCCTGACTATATCTGCTTGTAGAAGCTGTGGTTGTTCAAGATGTTAAGGTTTGTAATCCTCCT